AGAAGTCTGAAACCAGAATAAATCAACTCTGTGTTGCTTCCTGGGTTTTATCAGTTCACACTAGTTTATTTTATGGAGTTACGCAAGACTATAAATTGATCGAAATTAGACATTAACACCGTTTGATACCAAAGGTTATGCGTTCGCGCGCAAGATCGAAGGTCCTGCGTTCGAATCCTACGAGGTGCATGAGTCATGGATGCGCACTGCTGATGAGTCCCATACTAGGATGAATCGGCTGTCCAGTGCATCCAGTTATCTAATGCTGGTCTAACAATGATTTATTCATGATTTCAATGAGCAGTTTTTATTTGTAATTTGTATTGTATGTTAGTTAGTTAGCAATCAATAATTTTTTCATCTGTTGTTGTTTTTTTCTCTTCCTCTCTATATCTATGTAGCCATTCGGTCATAATATGTCACAAGCTGATATTTTACATGAAAATACTATACTACATGCACGATCGATTGTATTTCCATCGACTACAAAAGTTAGCGATGGAGCAAAAGTAAGCGCCTGTTGTTGTTGTTTTTTTGTACGTTTTTCTCTTGTTTAGATCAATTATTATGTTAGTGATATTTAGTTGTTTTATTTATCTGAACACATCAACATTGATAGAAAGGAGGAGCACCTTAATTAAGTATTTGTGAGTGAGTCACAGAAATCATTGAATTTTTATGCGAACTAGGATACTTTCCAGGTGTCCAGATCGAAATCGGTAGGTTTTTTCTTAAGGGACTGTAGTGAAGGAGAACACAGGTGAGGACAACCGAATTGTATTTATCGCAAATTACAGAGTTAATTGGTGTAATAGGAAAACCATATCGTAAATCGTTAATTTGCAAAATATCAATCCATCATATCGAACTGGACTGATCCTATTGCAAACAACATCAATCCATTGTCTGACATTTCACTGTTCATGCGTTTCATACAAATCCCATTGTGTTCCCACTCTTCCTTTCTTGATCTTCCACCATCTTCTGCTGCTGCCAGACATTACGTTTTTACTCGCGTCATATACTATTTATAAGTAGCGCGCACCACAGGACCACTAATCTGAGTTTTTGACTTACATGTCTAATGCATAAGTTTATTTTCTGTGTATTAGACAATCAAAACTTGATGTGGTTAGTGAGTTTCATAATGCTGCTAACCTGTTTACCGTTTGTTAGAATATACACCTGCCTACTATTCCTTACAACATCTACAGTTCACGATCATAAGCGACAATACTGCATATAATCAGCCTCAACAAACCATAATTTCACTGATATCTCATATAAGTGTTGACCGCGTTACATTCTTCAAACCACAGGATTTGACTCATATATGTAGATCAACATATTATACAGCAAACACATGCATAATTATTTTTATGAAGGACAGGCTGTAGTTTACTGATTATTTATTGGTTTGTTATTTTTTCCGAATACACTGATATTGTGTTACTTGGGTTTGGGCACCTGAGCAATATCTCCTACTTCATTTGGTCTCGTGTGCTTTTATGGCACAAATGCATGAAGTCACTGACAAGTGGACTGAGTCATGTTGGTAGATGTAGGCTACCTGGTAGGGGTCCGCGAGACGAAAGTCACCAATGGTTAGAGACCTTGAATGACATGGCTCAGAATCGTTTGCAATGGCTCAGGTGCATCCACTCTTTGTGTTCTATGAAATTCTAACCTTCTGAATTCCTGATCATCTCTATCTTTCTCCTTGTAAATTTATCTTACTGAATTATACTTCTCGAATTATATCTTCGCTCCCTAGTCTTCTCCATTACTGCTAATACTTCTACTATCGCTATCACTCTTGGATTTGAACTGACAGTTGGGTCTCTGTGCTATGATCGTGGTATGGCAACCTGAACTGATGTACTTATGTACGAAGTTCTACGTTGTATCTGTCTGTCTGTCCTAGTTTATTCGTAAATCCAATAATTTATTTGGCTCATAGATATTTAGGTGCCGCTTTGTTTAAATATATAAATAAATGTGTTTTTTTTAATCTTAATAAACTGATATTTAATATGCTCATAATATTTAACTCGACCATAGCTGCTACCTTGATGTAGGGGTGGTCGGTCTCAACTATCGTGATGACCCAACTAATCTATGATAGTAACTATAACCTATGGTTAGAGACCTTTAACGACATTTTTCAAAACTGTTTGGAATGGCGCAAATGCATCCATTCTTTGACTTCTCTCAAACCCTAATCCTCTTGATTCTTCATCACCATTCTCTTCCTCTTTTTAAGTTTATTTTACTAGATCATACTCATTGAATAATAGCATCTTCAAACTCTAATCTTTCCGATTACTGCTTATACTTGTACTACCTCTACTACTAATATGGTATTTGAATTGACAATTGCCTCTCTGTGTGCTAATGTTTTGGTACGTACGTACGTAAGTACGAACGAAGTTCTACGTTGTAACTGACTGACTGACTGGCATAATATTTAACTTGTCAAAAATGATACTTTTCACAGCCAAGCAATATTATTATCACTGAAGAACAATTTAAAACTGACATCATTTTAAAAAAAATTAAAATCCATCTATAATACACATACATACCTAGTAAACAAAGTTGTCTCATGTTATAATTTTTTTTTGATTAACTAAATTTCATTTTCTTTTGCTATTGTGTTTTTAAGGAATTTATTCGAAAATGTTGTACCTACAGAAAAGATCTTCGACCGGATGTCTTTCAACTTAGCAACGATGATTATTTAAAGCCTAAAGCTCAATTAAAGTAAGTCATTCTGTTTGAGTGCTTTCAATTTCAATCTGATCTCAAAATTGCACGTTAATAATTTTTTATTTATCATCGTTACCAACACGCCAGTCGCACTTCACTAGTTTAAAATTTGTCAGCTGCTCTCTCTCTCTCTGTGCATTTTCCTCAATCATATATTTCACTTATAGTACTATCGATTCTTTGCATCGATTCCGCTTGTTGACCTTGAGATTTCAATTCCCACCAGGAAAATCGATGGCTGTGATTGGCTGCTGTGTATTTTAGTGTGCAATTTTTGTGACTGTCCCAAGAACGTTTCTATGATGTATAGATAAACGAGAGTTGTATGCTTGATGGTACTGTGATTGCTGGGTGTTTGTAGAATATACTTTCTACGCTTAAAAAGCCTTCCTACCTTAGTTTGGGATTCAAGGTAGCCTCTCTGGACGCTGGTAATTGTCTCGTTCACGTTTATCGACTAAGGTAAACTCGTAATAGCCTCAAGCATACTTAGTGACGAACATAATAGTATCAAACATGCCTATAATGTAGAACGAATTCAGTTGCTGGTCGATAAATTAGTTGTTTGGTTTTTAGATGAATGTTTAGCTTGCGCCACAAATGACTCAAGTTAGCAAAGCCAATTGGGCGTTCTGTATTCGGTTCAGAAATTTCATCAGACGCCAGGCCATCAGAACTGATTATGAGACTCTTAAGATAAATGAAGCAGTGAACACGCTCAATTACTTCATTTCCTATTTATCGATTTAGGCGCTGTTAGTTTCAACATCTCTTGTGTTTTTCAAATAACTTCACCATAAGACTTTTAGTCTTAATCTGCTTCATCTTTATTTTTCAGACATTATCTCGACACATCTACACTTCCTGGTCCAGTCGGTGTTCCACCAAATATGACCAATCCCCAACCACCTTCAACTTGTATTGATCCCTCCATTCCTACTACTCCTGTTAGCAACCAGTGTATGATATCTGGATATCCAACAAGCAATCCTGTCATCAAATCTTCTTGATTTGATGTCGGCACCAGCAAAAATCACAATCAGATGTTTCTTTTCTAAATCAAGACGTTGTAATTGGTTTCAACCACAATTAATTGAACGCGTTACAAGGCAAAAAATGTTCTGTTTCATCTTTATTACACAAATACAACGTCTCATCCATCATTAAAGCTGTCTGTTTTTTATTATTGTGAGACCATTGGGTGATCTCAATTGCACAATCATCGTCGAGAAGATAGATAAAAGAAGAATGATGATGATGGCCGCTCTCAGTAATAATCAATAGTTTAGAGACAATGATATCTATTCATCTTGTTCCTATGTGTCTATATATATATATATAAATATAAATACGTGTGTGTGTGTGTGTGTATTATCGATTTCCTTTCAATGTTGAAGCGTCGTGAATAGTCTTTCATTATTCCCAATAAGAAAGATTATGCTGTAATTTCTAGTAGAAACAAAAAACAAACACACCGCTTTTGTCTCTCCTCTTTATTGTCTGCGTGTCTGTGTGTGTGTGTATGCGTGATGTTTTTGTTTCACAATAAAACTCTTTCTCTTCTATTCAATGCCATTTGTTTGATTACAAAAGCAAGAAATTCCAAGCACAAAATCTGCAATATCTCAACAATTTCCCCTTGATATATATACATATATATATAAATATATACTTATACATATACATACATATTCATTTAACTTGTAAATAAAATTTTAAAAAATTTGTATTTAAAAAAATTTTTCAACCGTACTTGACTGCTTATTTGATTTTCACTGGCAAACGTTTTCCATTAGCTTTGGGCTTGTGTATTTGATACCTGATGTATAATATGTTACTGATTACCCCTTGCACACAGTGTATGTAGGCAGTCGGGAAGTGACATCCGCCCTCATATGCGTAACAGCACATGGGACCAAATCGGTCTCAATCAAATCCTTCCTGCAACCCTTAACATCTCACTTATATCCATGACTAACCCCTGTCACATTCCTTTATCACTCCGCACCGCTAATACAAACGATTCGAGTTCATGAAACGTTATTCCTGGTCTCCTGAAACTCCGTTCTAAACTGCATGTTGCGGCTTTTAATGTTCGAATCCTGTGCCAAATGGAGCAACAGGCTTCATTAGTTAGGACTCTGAAATCCCGTGTCATCGATGTATGTTGCGTCTCGGAAACGCGCATACAAGATCCGAGTAAAATCATCAGTTTGATTTCAACTAGTGCAGATAGAGACACAACAAGGTTTTCGCTTCGTGTTTCTGGAAGCCCTGACGCCGCTTCTCGTGGCCTTGCCGGCGTAGGTATTATTAAGTGCTAGGGCAGAACTAGCTCTTCTAGACTGGATCGCAATAGATAGTCGCTTGTACACTGTCCAACTAAACGGAACAATAAGGACTCGGAAGGATAGGGGCACTCGCGACTTCCTCTTCGTCATATCTGCTTTCAGAACTCCTCCAAAAAGTTAAGCGCTCTGAGATGGTAATGATGGCTAGCGACTTCAATGCTCAAGTACGTAGACTAAATGAAAAGTAAAGACACCTGGGTGGATCCTATAGTGTCGCGGCCAATAGAACAGACTATGGCGACTGTCTACTGCAGCTATGCTCAGAGAAGCTTCTATTCCTAGCAAGTACTAACTTCAAGCATAAAGTAAAACATCTTTTGACCTGGCGACCCCCCGAAGCCGACTCAACGATGGACCCAACTAGATCACATCGATATAAACCAACAGTGGAGAGGCTCTGTTGAAGACTGCCGCTCATTCTGGAGCACTTGTTTAGACTCAGACCATGCTCTAGTGCGAGCGCGTATTTGTTTGCGCCTTACTGGACGCAAGGAAACCTCTTAGGGCTCTACTTAATGATAATGAAGCTAAAAATATATTTCAGGAACAACTAGGCAGCCATGTAGTAGGGAATGCCCACCGTGAGGCAGCTTGGAATGATATCAAAAAGGCTGTGGAAACAGCAGTGATATCTTCTAGAAGTGTTAACCATAAGGTTAGGGAGAAGCCGTGGATTTCAGTAGCATCTACGGAACTGAAGGATGCTCTAAAGCTCATCCCTCCTGGCTCTGAGCACGATGAGGAGCGGAGTCAGCTTAGGCGCATGTTGATAAAAAGCCTTCGCAATGATCGAGAACAGTCGTGGGTAGCGAAAGCGAGAGAGATGGAAAAGGCAGCGGCGATAGGCAACAGTAGGCAACTTTTCAGACTTATCAGGGAAACCGGTATTAGGAATCCGAATGTGAGTGAAACTATTTCGGAAAAGGATGGCTATATTATTCATTCTCAATCCAGGAGACTAGACCGATGGGCAGAACACTTTAAGGATCAGTTCCACGCATTCAGCCACACTGGTTGCCCACGATCTCCAGTCCCCCTGACTGGGAAACCGACATAAGTCCTCCTAGTCTTTATGAAGTTGAGAGAGCTATAGGAAATATGAAGCGAGGGCGAGCTGCAGGTCCTGATAGACTGACCCCTGAGATATTTAAGGATGGTGGTCCAGTTTTAGCAGCTAGACTGACCGAGATCTTAGCTAGAATCTGGGAACTGGACGTAATCCGATCTGACTGGTCCCAATTTTTAAGAAATGACAAAAGTGTTCTTGTGACAATCACAGGGGAATCAGTCTAACTAATATAGTTTCTAGGTTGTTAGCCTCGATTATACGTAGACGTGTAACTAGAGCTCGTGAAGTGCAGACTAGAGAAAACCAGGCTGGTTTCAGACCTGTACGTGAATGTATGGACCACATCTTTGCACTACGACAGGTCCTGGAACACAGACATATTTAGGCGTCTGACAGTAGTTATCTTCCTGGACCTCAAAGCGGCATTCGACTCTGTGGACCATGAGGTTCTGTGGCAGTGCCTGTCATTAAAAGGTGTACCAAAGAAGTACATTAATCTTATGAAGGCTCTCTACTCGAACACTACAGGTCGAGTGAGAGCTTATGGCGAACTGTCACCGGAATTCTTTACTTCAAGTGGTGTCCGTCAGGGATGTCCACTCTCCCCATTCTTGTTCAATTTTGTTATAGACATGCTGCTAGATATAATCTTATCCTCGTCTGACTTTTCAGATGTAGAACTCCTACTAGGAGACTCACTTGTTGACTTAGGATATTCCGATGACAGTTCCCCTGAAGCTAGTCTCAGTTGTCCAACCTATATCCAAAGTGTTCCACTGATTCCAAGCACTTCCAGGCTATATCTTTTCATTTCTGCAGCAACTTGGAATAGTCTTTCGATCTCCCACAATGTACGAGCATTTCATGTACCTAAAAGAAGGGTTGCTCTGGTTGTCAGTAGGGGCGTCGACCTAGCGACTTCCGAGGGAACCCAGCTTTCATCATGAGACGTCATAACTTTTCTAGAAGAAGACCTAACTCCCAGGGCAGAGTTAGCGAATTAGTTTCCCTATGGGATGGGGTCACCAACCCTGCTCCTTCATCCAGGCTTGGGACCGGCAGCAGCCTTAGAGGGGCTTCAGGCGGAGTTTTAGTGATGTTAGGAGTCGTCAATATTAAATTTTCGTGAATGTCTTTATTACCAAGAAAAATCTTGAAATTATTTCGACTAGTCAGTGTTCTTTTGAAAGTCCCTAACAAATATCTAGAAAATGATTGGTTATGCTTTTTGTTTTTTAACGGAATCAGACAACAATCAAATTTATTACTGATTTTAGCATGTGTTAGAACAACTTCAAAGATCCTATGGTCCGGCGTAATCTTGAGTAGGTTTAAATAATAATGCTCGTTCTATTAGCAGTCATAAATTAATGTGTTCATATGATGAGATTATTACTACTACATCTATGAATGTGTTAGCATATTCATCCTAAGAGAATTATTGCTCAATTCCTATTGGTTAATTCCTACTGGTCAATTTTATGGTCGTCCTAGATATCAATGTCACGTTTCTTATTGGTCATCCTGACTGTCAATGTCACTTCAAATGTTGTTTCCTATTGGCCGTCCTAACTATCAATGTCACAGACTTCAATGTTGTTTCCTATTCGACTTAACTGTATAAATACGCATTATCTGTAACGTTTTATGATCAGCCGCCGGGTCCCTAGTCCGGGATCCTGGTTCTCTTCTGGACTCGAACCTCGCACTCTCTGGATGTTTGTAGAATACACGTTCTACTTCATATCAAATCTTCTTCTCTTATTCAATGGGGGTTGGGACAATTGGATTATAGTAGCATGTCGTGTCGCCGGATCCTCAATCCTCGCTCTCGTTGTTCGACTAAGATAAACTCGTAATAGTTCAAGCATATCAAAATGACCTGTTTACGTGTATGCGTAACAAAATGAAATGAAAATCTAAAATAGTAAGAAGTTTATTTATTATACAACCAATCTATAAAAACAGTAGTATCAATTGGATAATAGGTTATCGTTCATTGTTCTATCCTATTTTTTTGAATGTGAATTAAGCAGCTGAATGAGAAGAAACTATGATCAAATAAAATGGATACTTTTATTAATATTTATTTGTTTGTTTATCCTACTATCTGGAACAATGATGTGCAATAGACATGTCTATCTATCACTCTATCAATTGAAAATTATACTTTCTCCAACTCCAACTGATATGCTTTATTTAACCAATCAAAATCATTCAATTGATTCCCTAAAACATTAAATAATGAACAAAAGAAATTACAACACTTGAACATTGAATGAATGAATGTCAACCGAGTAGTTAATTAAGTAAATTAGTTATTTTTTTTTCACATTTATGGAAGAAACACAATTATCAAATGATTTTAATTTTACATCAAAAACAATCACCACCAATGTTGTCGATGAATATGGCAATTCAATTATATCAACTGTAAAAACTAAAAAACGTCGTTCAGGCAAATATTGTTTACATTTATTTAAAATATTCATTAAAAATATTGGTTTAACATTATTATTAATTGCATATCTATGCGCTGGTGGTTATATATTTCGTTCACTTGAATTATACAATGAATCACAAGATTGTTTTCAACGTCAAAAAAATTATATAAAAAAATTGAATTCAACTACACTTCGAGTAATTGGTACAATCAAATCAATTGATTCTAATAATAATCATTTAGATCAAACACAAACATTAGATGAAATTATTATTAATTTATTAAATGAATATGCTGAAGATTTATATGCATTAGATGTGAAACCATCAACAAATTGTACAGCTATATTAAATACATCAGATGGTTCAAAATGGAATTTAATAAATGCAATATTTTTCTGTGTTACAGTAATCACAACAATAGGTAAGTGAAAAGTTAGAAAACCCTTTTTTCTTTTATTTAAATACTAAGAGCAATGATAATATGTACATTAGATTTCAGCAAATGTATTCAACTGTTAAGTCACAAACAGTAGAATCTATATGTAATCAAGACCTGCGCGCGAATGCCTAACTTCTAATGTCTAACTTTGATCCTCTACTGTCGCTTCAGTAAGCACAGCTTCATACCCGAACAGGGTTAATCTCCACTGATCATCACTTCTCACTAGAACTCGGAGAAAATTCCTCACGGAGCTAGTCACTAGGGAGTACATGTAATTGGCATTATAGGATTGTTGAAATTGTTGAGTTACTTTTTCAAATTATGAGTCGATCAATGTTAGACCACCATTAGAAACCTAGAAGAACTCTACAGTGGTCAAGTCCTTTTATGGGATTTATCAGCAATGCGCATCCACGACTCCCGCAACTCGCAGGATTCGAATCCAGGGTGGGCATTGCTGATGAGTTCTCTATACCACGACGAAACTGCCGCCTATTGCTTTCAGGTTTCGAATATTGGTCTAACATTGATCGATTCATAATTTGAAAAAGTAACTCAACAATCTCCACAACCATATATGTGTGTTTTTTAACGATTATACTGATAGCATTCAAATTCTAATCACTTCATCAAAATCTGATGTAATTATTAGTTAGTTTTAGTTTATTTTTTTATCTAAATCGACTGCTTTCTCAGTCAATACAACATTGAAAACTAAAAGAGATTGATGTTTTTTTTCAAAAATCGATTTTATAAACAAACAATTCTCAAACTATTCTATGAATTATTTTAAACGAAAATTTCCGTATCTTAAATAATGTTAATTTAATCTTAAGCATTCATTATCATGTCAGTCATTCATATCTACATGTGTCACATAAACTAGTTGTATACTATTTATTTTTGGTCAGTGCACTCTCTTATTACGTAAGTAATTCAAAATGGATCAGATTATATTGTGGTGTGAGCTACTTATAAGTAGTATATGACGTGAGTGTCAACGTAATGTCTGGCAGAAGAAGATGGGGGAAGATCAAGAAAGGAAGAGTTAGAACACAATGGAATTTGTTTGAAACGCATGAATAGTGACAATGGATTGACGATGTTTTGCAACAGGAACAGTCCAGTTCGATATGATGAAGTGATATTTTGCAAATTAACGATTTACGATATGGTTTTCCGATTTTACTGAGTAACTCTGTAATTTTCGTTAAATTCAATCCGGTTGCCCAACCTGTGTTCTCGTTCACAACAATATGATAAGGAGCCGGATCTACAAATCTAAAATATGTTTTCTAAAAATTTCATTATCAATCTGGATATTGTTTTTATTTTGTGAAATGTAATTGAAACAACCTCATCACCAGATTGTACAGTAGTCATGTTCCAACGTCTAATATTTAATTTGAAATCATGAATCGATCAGTGTTAGGCCAGTATTAGAAACCTAGATGATCTGGATAGCTGTTTCGTCCTGGTATTGGACTCATCAACAGGTTTCTAATGGTGGTCTAAAATTGATTGATTCGTGATTTCAAAAAGTTAACTGAATAATCCCCACAACCCTATAATGCAATTACCTGTGCTCACTAATGACTAGCTCCGTGAGGAATCATCTTCGAGTTCTAGTGGGAAGTCGTGACCAGTGAAGTTCAACCTGTTCGGGTGTAGAAAGTATAAGGTTACGCAAGGCCGTGAATTGACTGAAGTTAGACATAAACACCATTAAATACAGGCTTAATGATCCAGAGGTTAGGCGTTCGTATGCAAGACCGGAGGTGCTGGGTTCGAATCCTGCAAGGTGCAGGAGTTGTGAATGCGCACTGCTGATGAGTCCCATATCAGGACGAAGTTGCTGTTCAGTGATTCTTAATTGGTTTAGAGGAAATAATTCAAGAGTATTGGTTTAACTTATGATATTTAAACAGAAAATTTAAATGACTGCATTTGTTGATTGACTATTTATTCTGATATTGCAGAAATGAAACTTTACAAATCCCTTATGTCATAAGATTCACATTCATCAAATTAGTTTAAAACGTTTATTCAAGTTAGTGCTTCTTCTAATCTGCTTAAACCTTTAGGTTACAAGTTTTTTACCGGTAATACAAATATTACAATTGTTTTCCTATTTCTGATTTGTTTGAATCAATGAACAAGATTTAAATAACCTCATTGTTTACTGATGCATGATCGTTGTAATTCTATATTCTGTAAGTGTAGAAACTCCAGTACAATCTAGGATATTCGTTTTGTCATTATTGTGCACTTGAATTCAAGTGTTTTCACTTTTATCCAATGGAAACATTATTGTGTGTTAAGGCTCAAAAGATGCATTCATCTTATGAGTGACTAGTTTATGATAAGAAATTACTTTCAAACAGTATTCAGTAATCATCATCAACATCACCATTATCTAATGGCTTCATTATTTGATCTCATCTTAAAATGAAAAGATTAAATATTATTCATTTTAACAAAAGATACAAAATATCTGTTTGATAACTAGCGAATACATTTGAAATCATGAATCGATCAATGTTAGACTACTGTTAGAAACCTGGAAGCAATGGGCGGCAGTTTCGTCGTGGTATGGGACTTATCAGCAGTGCGCATCCACACCTCGCAGGATTCGAACCCGTGACCTTCGGTCTTGTGTATGAACGCCCAACCTCTGGACCACCGAGCCGGTATCTAGCGGTGTTAATGTCTAACTGCGATCAATGCACATGGGCACTGCTGATGAGCCCCATATCAAGACGAAACGGCCGTCCAGTGCTTCCAGGTTTCTAATGGTGGTCTAATATTAATCGATTCATGATTTCAAATGTATAACTTAACAATCTTCACAACCCCGTGGTGAATTAGAGAATAATTATTAGAAATTAGTTACATATTGATGAATTCAATAACTATATCAAACTGAATGATTTTTATGTTGATTAATTTCAAATACGATTTTCACTATGCTCACCATCTAAAAAAGCCGAGAATGATTTCTTAAGAAAAACAGATTAAATCTAATTGAATAAATTTATTATTTTTTTGTCCGAAGAGCTGACTGAGTATTATTGTATCATTTCCACAAACCTATACCGTAGATGAACGTTTTAGTAACTAATATACAAGAAGAACGGAAGACTTGACTACTCTATTCTCGAATGACGATGACCCGATGCTAACTTGCCCCAGTCAAAGAGGAAGAACAAAATAGATCAATTACGAGCAGTCTCGTTATTGTATTTCAGATATGACTTTATAAACACACACGACCATATCACATTGCATCAATAAATGGAAGTTAACAACTACACATTAGTGGGTCAAAAGTGGCTGTGAGTGAGTAGAAGAGATTGTGAATAAAACACTAACAAGAGAATCATACGAACTCAGGATCGATCAATAACCCATAAATTAAGTTCTTATATTACTTTATACTTCAGTCTTCATTCGGACATGATAACTATCACTTGACTAAATCTTTTTTTATACGTCCTCATTAATTGTATAGCCTTTAAATTGAGATACGAATCATTTTAATGATATTGAATCATTTGAGCTGAATAATTTAATAGCCAATAAATTTATTATTTTAATTGAAATCGTGAACCGATCAGTTCCAGACTGACCTGGAAGTACTGGATAGCCATTTCTTAACAGTGTGGGACTCCTCAGCGGTGTTCATCCACGACTCCGCAGGTGTGAATAAAATCGATAAGCAAGGGTGTTGAACTGTGTCGTAGGTGGAACAGTTACACACAGAAGACAATTGGGCAAATGGTCTCTCGATATCGTGGATTGGTTGAAGTTAGACATTACCACCGTTGGACGTTGATTCGGTGACAAAAAGGCTCAGCGTTGTCGCGCGACTGAGATTCCCGAGTTCGACTCCCTCTTGACGAGTAACACGGATGAGCACTTCTGAGGAGTCCCATACTAGGACGAAATGGTCGTCTAGTGCTTTCAGCTTGCTCTAACTCTGATCAATTCATGATTTCAACGAAACTCAACAATGTCCACAACGGTATTTCGATGAAACATTGGACGGAACTATACCTTTAAGGACAATTAGGATTTTATTATTTATAATGGAGTAAAATATTTTTCACCTCCAAATTATCTGTCATCTATTTCCTGGATTTATCTCTTTAGTTGAGGTATAGTTTTTTTCTTCGTTAACATTTGCGTAAGTCTTTGGTTACTTGTTATTTAATGAATTAGTTTGGGTGTTTTCTAGTTTCGTTTTTCTACATGAACATAATTGGGGCACAGTTTTGGAGGTTTGCGTTTTTACACATTTGAAATCATTAATCAATCATCATTGTTAGACCACCATTAGAAACCTGGAAGCACTGGACGGCCGTTTCGTCCTAGTATGGGACTCCTCAGCAGTGCGCATCCACGACTCCTGCTCCTCGCAGGATTCGAACCCGGGACCTTTGGCATTGTAGGCGAACGCCTTACCATCGGACCACTGGGCCGGCATCCAACGGTGTTAATGTCTAACTCTGATTGATCTAGGGATTTTGCGCGACCTCACCCATTTGTCTTTGGTAGTTACTGCCTACACCCGACAGGGTTGAACTCCACTGGTCACGTCTTCTCAACTAGAACTCCGAGAATTTCCTCACGAAGCTAGTCACTAGTGAGCACTGTTACGATATATTGGGGCACAGTTTTGGAGGTTTGCGCAAAATCCCTAGATCAATCAGAGTTAGACATTAACACCGTTAGATGCCGGCCCAGTGGTCCGATGGTAAGGCGTTCGCGCACAATACCGAAGGTCCCGGGTTCGAATCCTGTGAGGTGCAGGAGTCGTGGATGCGCACTGCTGATGAGTCCCATACCAGGACTTGACGGCCGTCCAGTGCTTCCAGGTTTCTAATGGTGGTCTCACAACGATTGATTGATGATTTCAAATGTGTATAAACATAATTGTTAGCTCTCACTTTTAATTCTAAATATTACCATTTTAAGAATAATGATTCATTTAATCATGACTGTATTATTGATTCATGTAACAAGTCAGTTTTAGTTATACAGTTAGTAAGATTGATACATTATATTGAATTACAAGCGTTCATATAAATGGTATATTCATTGTTGAGGTGACTTCCAGTAAACTCTAGATGTTTTCGAGAAACCGAAGAGATTCAGTCAGTTCACAGACCAATAGAATTTCTACGATATTAACGTAGCATACGATAATTGGATAATTGTGTAACATCATAGTTTGCGCATTGGACAATTATGATAATGCTTTCACTCTATACGAAAAACTATAAATACACATAGTTTCCTTGTACATTTCAACACTTACTGGAGACTGTTATACTCGTTCTAGGGCCAACAGTTGTATTCTGTATTGGCCGTATCAAGTAGAAGACTTGATAGTCATATTTTACTGGTATACAGACAATATCATTATATACGTCATCAGTACGTATGTGCATTTGTGAAGAAACTGTCGGTCTGTGAAATTAAAGTCCCAATTCATTAAGGATGTTACCACTGAATCCGTTGTTATTGAAACTTTCTGTGTGTGTTCATCATTGAAACGATTGTCTCAAATATTGTTACCATTCGAATCTGATCACAAAATGATCGTAATCCAATATATCAGCTATATATCCATTCTTTACGTTCTGCTATCTATAAATTTAATACTCATCATTTTGAGTAGATGAAGTATATACTAATTAATAGTACTTTTGACAAATTAGTCATAACAAGTTACGTCCTTTTTATTTTTAAAAAAACCTATCAACAGGATTAATTCATTTAATCTCAATTTCTCTCTCTCTCTCTCTCTCACTTTCTGAAGGTTATGGACATATTGCACCAGTTACATTTTGGGGTCGTATAACATGCATTATATATGCAATTATTGGTATACCATTAATGTTAATCTATTTAGCTATTATTGGTAATTTACTTGCACGTGGATTTCGTACAATATTTTTAAATTTAATTTGTTGTCGATGTTTCTATGATATTATAAAACGTAAACGTCAACAACGTAGAAAATTAATGCGTCAATGGGAAGAAAGTCTTCGTCTACATGAAGAAGAAGAAGCTAGGAGAAGAGGATTATCATTGCCACCAAAAAAGGTAAATTATTAAATTACTTGTTTAATAAAATGAAATATATGTCCCCACCAAATAAATTTACATCATAAATGGTTAGTGGAATTTTTGTGTATAATTGTGTATAGTTTTTCTGGAGATTACAACCTAACTATTATAACCAAGTGTTTTATCTGAAAAAATAGATAACACTATCAAGAGAAGTGACATTTTATCATTTATGCGTTGAACACTTATTCATTCTGGATTATTACAATTACCATCCCATTTTACAACCGATAGTTTGAGGGAAGCATATATTACTAATATCAAGTTTTTTATTGATAAGATCTAAAGTTCTACGTCCTTTTTTTGATGATTTTATTACTTGAATGACATTTCTATCCATCACAAGATCTCAGCCTTAGTGATCAAAATCAATAGGTATGAATGACTCATACATTGTTGATCCAATAAGCGTCTAGGACAGAAGGTTACATAAATCACGTGATAGATCAACAGCACTCAGTACAACATGCTGACGGCCTTGAGTCAACCAATCAGAATTATTAGGATATGGCCTAAGTATTTTGAGCGAAATTTGAAGTTCTTAGAAAAATAATCTGTACATTACGGTTAGAAAATTCAAACTTAACAACACGACCCTTAGAATGCTTGAAACCAAAAAAATAAATTTCAGCTAGAGCTTATGCCAAGTTACCAAATATGACTGCTCTCAAGACAAATCGTATGCTAAGGCATTTGTCGTCATGAATTTTTAATTCAGTAAGATCATATCTTCTCTTTCTAATTCTCACTCTTAATCTCTACTATAAGTTTTTTTAAGTTTGTAAACAGTAGAATGGTAGAGAATTACATCATAGCTGATATCAGCTCATGATGAAAGTTTAAAAAAACAAAACTCAGAACTCCAGCCTAACTTTGAATCCCTAACCTGAACATTTTTGCATTATAGCTGACCTCAGTTGGTATAGAAAACTCTGTGATTTGATACCCTAACTTATAACATTAACCTGGTTTTTTAAACAGTGAACTTGACCTTCCACTGTAAAGGATAATTCGATTTGTGAGGGTTAATTATTGAGATCATAGCTTTTATTCCACTGATACTTTATTGCTTTATTCTGCTAATTGTTTAATAACTAGTCAGCGTCTCCCGATGAGCTGATAGACCTCTTACGGTCGTCAGCATATTGTACTTTTACCCATTTTTCTCATTCACAAATCTATTCACGGGTCAACTGAATTATATTAGCCTGATTAAGACAAAATAACACCTGTCAAAATTAGCCAACTCCTTGTACCCTAGTGAATGCAGTAACTAGTGTCAAACTACCGTATCTCCTTTGCTCTCATGTACATTTGGTTAGATGTTAGTTTAACTGACAATGTCTCACTGAACATCTTTTATGATTGAAATTCACTCTGTTTTTTCATCTTATTCATCTTTTATGAGCAGGTTTTCATGGTTTAAATTTATTGAGAAAAAAATATCAAATAATAATATTGGCAAAGTGTTTTTGTAGTAGTTGATTTAATTTAAAGGTGATTTGATAATTAAGATCTCTTCATGAGACCGATAGATCCTAGGTTCGATTCCCGTGGGATCTTGTGTTTGCATTGCTCAAATGTTCTACATAATAATGAAACGGCTACTCAATGCTCTTTGATTTTGAATAGTATTCCATCTGAAGTCAATCTGTGACAAACGACATCTACAAATACTAATAATAGTAACAACAGATACATATTTATTACTTACGCCTGTTACCCCTATAGCATAGCATAGGCCACCAATCAGCATTCTCCAGTCTACTCTGTCCTAGGCCTTCCTTTCTAGTTCTCCCAACTGTCATTCATTCTGTTCATGTCTGTCCCCATTTCTCGGCATAATATGCTTTTGGTCTTCCTCTTTTCCTTTGACCTTGAGGATCCCAGGTGAGGGCTTGTGTTGTGATACAGTTGAGTGCTTTCCTCAATGTGTGTCCTATCCACCAACTCCAGCACTTCTTCCTGATTCCCTCCTCTACTTGAATCTGGTTTGACTTCTCCCACAGTAGGTTGTTGCTGATAGTATCTGACCAGCGGATCCGAGGTATTTTGCGTAGACAACTGTTAATAAACACTTGTATCTTCCGGATGATGACTTTTGTAGTTCTCCAAATTTCCTTTCCATACAATAGAACTGTCTTGACATTTGTAATTAAAATTCTAACTTTGGTGTTGGTTGATAGTTGTTTTGAGTTGCAGATATTCTTCACTTATAGAAACACTGCTCTTGCTTTTCCAATCCGAGCCTTCACATCTGCATCAGAATCACTTTGCTCACCAATGATGCTGCCCACGTATGCACACGTTACCACATTTTGCAAAGCTTATCCGTCAAGTGTGAATTGATTGATGCATGTTGTGTTGTATCAGAGAATCTTGTATTTTCCCTTATGTATGTTGAGACCTGCTGCTGTTGAGGATGCTGCTACACTGTTCGTCTTCTCGTGTAGTTGTGTGTGAGATGAAAGAGTCAGATCATCTGCGAAGTCTAAATTGTTCAACTGCGTCCTACTTTGTCAAATGTATCCTGCGCTTCCTTCCAGATGTTGACGTTTTCATAATCCAGTCGACCACTAGGAGAAGTGGAAGAGTGAGATTAAGAAATCTTTACTGATACCGGTCTTCACTTACAACGAATCAGTGAGCTGTCCTCCATGTACGATTTCGTAGTTTAGGCCATCATAAGGATTTCGTATGGTGTTGACTATCTTTTCAGGCACGCCATAGTGTCGAAAATGCCTCCATAGCGTCATTCTATATAGATATATTTGAAAAAAATTGAATAATCATTATTTTGATTTGTTCTCAGTGATTTAAAAAAAAATAACTTATATTTAATTTTTGATAAGAATCTAAACTAATCATTATGTTACTTCTATATTATAATGAATATATATAACTCAACTAGAATTAAAGTACAATTTTGACATTAATACTAAGAAAAGTGATTTTTATTAGAATAATGTTCAAAGTGTATAAACAAACGCCATATTAATAACGGTTATATTTTCCAAAGTTTTGTATTAAAGTGTTTTTTCATTGAACACAAATTCTGTAATCGCTTAATATTAAAACTTGTCTATATCATACATACTCTTCTATTGTTTGTTAGTATAGTAGTACTGGTTTTTTATTGATTGATTGACCATGATAAATCTGAACCTTATTATCACTGATCTAATTGGATAATTTACAGTTTGTGTGAAATATTTTCAGGTCATACACACATAAAGTTAAGTGAACATTTAACATTTATTGTATATAAATATTTGATATGCATTGAATATAGAGATTTTAATTTGTAATTGAAACATTGGGATATATTTAAACATTACAGGGGTTGTGAAGATTGATAAGTTACACATTTTTGAAACCATTGATCGATTCATGGTTTCAAAAATGTGTAACTTACCAATCTTCACAACAACCCCGTAATGCAAATTACCTGTGCTCACTAGTGACTAGCTTCGTGAGGAATCTTCTCCGAGTTCTAGTGGGAAGACGTGACCAGTGAAGTTCAACCTGTTTGGGTGTAGGCAGTGTCTACCGAAGACTGTGTATGAGGTTGCGCAACTCCGTGAATTTGATCAAGTTAGACATTAACACCGTTAAATACCGGCTCAGTGGTCTAACGGTTAGAGCGTTCGCGCACAATACCGAAGGTCCTGGGTTCGAATCCTGCGGGGTGCAGGAGTCGTGGATGCGTACTGCTGAGGAGTCCCATACCAGGACGAAACGGCCGTCCAGTGCTTCCAGGTTTCTAATGGTGGTCTAACATTGATCGATTCATGGTTCCAAAAATATATTTAAACAATTATGAATGCCAAACCGATATCTCGACGATCTCCAATTTCAATATAGTCAATATTAGTACAATGAATAAAAAGTTTAAAGCTATACATTTAATCAGTTAGTTTGTAAGTGTCCTCAATGAAAAAAAAATAAAGCTGACAATATTCTGATTGTAATCAAGTTGAAAGAGATTTTAAGAGTTATTCGAAGGTGTAGAAAGGATTTGATTGTGGCTTATTTGGTCTCATGTGTTGTTACAAGGATGAGGTTGGATGTCACTTCCTAGCTGCCCACAACGTGGAATTGTCATCCTTAAAGAACATTAAAAAGGAAGGTAGACTATCGTTGGTCTTAGAGACCGAGGACAACTGCTTGAGGCCGGTCACGCACGGCCTTTTTTTATGAGAAGTTTTTAAAGTGTCTCCGATTATAACCACAATCGAACTCCGATCAAAACTAGTGCTACGCTGATTACTAGAGTTAAAAACATGATCAAATAGTGATCACTGCATAAATTATCGGATGTCAGATTTAAGAAGTACAAAAAGGGAAGATGTGAGAAACTGTTGAGAGTTAGGACATGAATAATAAATTTACATCACAGATGTTTTTATGTAATTTCAAGTATACGCATAAAAGATATCTGGTTTTATATAATGACATGTATTCTCATCTCATTGAAATGAAAACTAGAGTTCATTTAAATTTGAATCCGCCATTGTTAGACCACCATTAGAAACATGCAAACACTGGATAGCCATTTCGTCCTGGTATGGGAATCATCAGCAGTGTGCATCCAAGACTGTCGTTAGTTTCGAGAATCTGTAGGGTTCGTCATTAGGTACGCTTGAAGCTATTACGAGTTCACCTTAGTCGATAAACGCGAACGAGACAATTACCAGCATCCAGATAGGCTACCTTGAATCCCAAGCTGAAGATAGAAGACTTTGTAAGCGTAGAAAGTATATTCTACAAACACCCAGCAATCACAATACAATCAAGCATACAACTCTCGTTTATTTATACATCATAGAAACGTCCTTGGGATAGTTACGAAAATAGCACACTAAAATACACAGCAGCCAATCACAGCCATGGATTTTCCTGGTGGGAAATGAAATCTTAAGGTCAACTGATCAGCCCATGCTCGCAAACGTGAAATCCAAAATTAAGGCATTTAT